ACACCTTCGTATTAGCTATCGCTATAACGCCGTCTTTAGCTCGTTTAAGCGTAAGTGCGACTACTATAAGTAAATAACGCTTATTTAAGACGCCTACTCCTCTCTTACGTAGCGCTAACTTCCCTTAAAGGAACAATTATTATAAGTATAAACCCGTACCGGTAGCGATGCGCCTACGCTACGATAGCGTTATAGCTACGGCCTACGAGCTTAATCTAGTAGATACTACTATGTAGAAGGGTAGTTAGGAGGAAGCGGCTTATAAGGCGGCGGTAAATACCTTTAGTATTAAGTTAGATGCTTAGATCCGTATTAACGAGCCTACCTCGGGTATACGGCGTATAAGTAGCGTAGTCGAGGCGCCTAATCTTACTCGCTTAACGAACAATCTTATAGCTATTGCTTAAGTCGGTCGTATTATAAGTGTCTCGCCTACTCCTCGTATACGTCTATAATACTAACCGTCTATATAGTAGTTAAAGATAATAGGGTAGTCTATTAATGCCTTCGATACTGCCCTAGCTAGAAACGAGCTATTCGAGGAGTTAGAGGCGGAGGAGAATAAGTTTAAGTAGAATGCTTAGCGCGTTCTCTAGGCTTACGCAGCGTATACGCCTATTTTATAGTATAGTCTATAAAGTAATCCCCTTTAGGTCTAACCGTAATAAAACTACTTAATTCTTATTACTCTTCTTCTATTTTGCTCCGCTCTGCTTCCGAGCCTCTTTTACTACGCGGCCTCTATACTTACGCGGAGCCTACGCCTCGAACCTATCGAGAGCTTCGTAGTCTTTAATATATATACTAGGTTCCTACTAGTTATATTCTAATAGCTATCTACGCTACTTTACTAAATAAAACGTTTCGCCCTTCTACACCCTCTTATTAAGAATCTCTTTAACCTYCTACTACCTATCCTCGTCGACTACGAGTAGTATACGCTCCTCTTACGCTTTACTCTTCCGGCTAGAATATAGCTCTAATAGAGTAACGTAGAAGACGTTATAGATCCTTGCTAAGGTAGGTAACTATAAGCGATACGCCTAAGTCCCGATTACGTTAATTACGCGGTATAGGCCTAGCTATTTAGGTCCTATCTTTTTCTTGCCCTCTAGCTTAAGGTTCTTCGTAGAGAGAAGTACTAGATTACTAATATTAAAGCTTATAGGCTTATAGCTCTTATTGTAGTACTTTAACTGTTACTCTTTAGCTTTATGCTATCGCTTAGTAAGCTCCTTATATACGCTACGCATACGCTTAGCTAAGTCGATAGCGGCCGGCATTCTCCCTTCTAAGAGCTCGTCCCGAGCGATGTCTTAGGTATTAGCGCCGTCGCCTAGAGGGCGCGTCGCTAGCTTTAGGTTCTATCCGTAGAGGATTTAGAAAGGGCTTATTTTAAGGCCCGCGTACACGCTGTTATTACACGTAAATTTAGCTATAGGTAGCTATTACGCCTAGCTATCCTACTACGTGCCGTAGTAGTAGCGCAGGTATTGCTTAAGCGTCTAATTAGCTTTCTTAGTCTATCTATCCGTCTAAGGGTAGAAGGCTATACTTAGCTTGCGCTTTATATAGGCTTCGTAGTAGAAGTTAGACTAGTATTAGCTAGTAAAAACCGAGCCTCTATTACTAATAATGCCTGCTAGTACGCCGTATTTGCAAACTACGTAAGATATAAAGATATCCGCTAGCTCTACTATATT